AAGGAGATAATTGTTATGTTCTCCAGGAGACATTAACATGAAAATCAGATATCCAATGAACAATGGTGAAAGGAGTCGGGAAATCCCGAACAAGACGCCCGTGAAAACAAGAGAAGCAGCCTCCTTGCGGGAAAGCATCTTCACAACACTTTTCCACAACTTCGGTCTTTTTTCCTTCCTCATGGAGCCAGCTATTTCTTCTTTCCAGTTCTCATCAAGACGCTGTATGGCTGACTGTGAAGTGTTCTCGTTTGAGAGAGGTACAAAATCGCCTTCCTTGAGGGCTCGTTTACTGCCTGTCCTTAAGACATGGTTCATCCATTGGAATAGAAGGAAGGAGAAAAAACCAACTTTCTCAGCAGAGTCATTGGTCGAGGAGATCTTCCTGTAACCATTTGGTGCCATGATTCTAAAGTCCACGGTCGAATAACGATAAAACAAAATCAATACTATTGTCTCTGACTAAGTAATCCAGTGTCACTATTTGTAAGGAGCTAGGATGAACGAAAGAACACTTTTGATGTAAATAGAGTGTTAGAGATAAACACCTTATTCGACGGTTGAACTATATTAGTCATAGTACCGCTGAATATTTTGCGATTTATGTCGTATATTTCCGAGCCCCGTAGAAGAGAAATAAAATCAAGAGCAATGAGCAAATGGCCGCCCGTCTTATAAATAAATTAAAAATTACTTAATTGGATTACACAATTAATGGTAGAACCAGTAGTTTTCATTGTGGTCCATGCAAACAACTGAAACAAATTGAAACTGAACATAACATTATTAAGAATGCCAACTGGCCGAAGGCAAGCCAGTTGGCTATTTACAAGCATGGCCGTGAATTTGAACTCGGAGCCACCGTGAAACAAATCAAGGTAGTGGTCAAGGCGGAACTCGAACGCGGGATCGGCGGATTGTGAGTCCGAGACGCTGACCACTCGGCCACACTGCCTACGTCAAACCATCCGATATGGGATACTTTTAGTCCCCTTTTATTGCTTTTTTTACCATTGCTTGATACAGCGATAGTAGTTTAGTAGTTGGGATGTCAGGACCAAAGCAAACTTTGGGGTCCAAAATCCGAAAATAATGTTCTCTAAAAATCTGATATCAAAAGTCTCAATCCAAAAAATGTTTTCTAAAAATTTGAAAAATCCAAAAAATCCAGAAATTTGAAAACTATATTGAGAAATATTTTTCAACAAAGTCGAAATCCAAAACGTATACTCACGAAAATTCCAAGAATTTAAAAAATTCCAATAATTCGAAATGGCGGATTCATAAAACTTGTTCAAACTTGTTTTTCAAATTTGGGGAATCCCAGAAAGAAAAACACTTAAAAGAAAAATCACGTATAGTAAATATGGAGAAAACGGACCAAATACACTTTAAAAAGTTTTTTATATAATAAATATATAGGTGGAAATGAAAACGAATTACAGAATCTGACAAAATACCAGGTCATTGAAATGATAATGAATTTAAGACTTGTTCCAAAATATCAACCTAAACCAACCCCAAGGAAAATTAAATTCGCTCCATCATTCAAAAATGTTCAACAGATGGTTTAAGATTATGAAGAAAATATTATTGAACCAACTCTTGAGTTTAGAGATGGTTATAAGCCAGTCCCTCTACCAAGGACAAGAGAACCGGTCCCTCTCAGTCCGAGAACAAAGAAGAAGCCCGTTCCTCTACAAAGAACAAGAATTGGTGAAACAGATAAAACTTTAAAAGGATATACAAAATCATATGAAATAAACATAAAGAATGATAAAGATTCATTAATTCGAATGCAGATTTGCTATTGGTAAATACAATTGAGAATATATTGAATGACATGAAACGTCTCAAATTCGTAGAGGCATTAAAGATAACTTTTGAAAAGATCACTTTTGGGGATAACTTTGATGGTGAAGTTCAGATGAAAACAGCATATTTCAATAGCAAACCTCAGACAATAATGAATGAAACAGAAATAGTAGACTCTTTACAATCAACAGAGCAAAATTTATTAAATCGAATTGCACGATGGATTTCAGAGGGATCTGGCTGGCGTATTCGATCAGTTGATAATAGGGACTTCAAGCAAACCACGACGGCTTTTGTATAGAAAGGGCGCAATATAAATAAGGAATTCATTCATTCATTCATTCTTACCTCCTTTCTGGGGATGAACTCTTACGCATGGACTGTTGCGCGAAACTTCTCGAGAATATTGTTCAAGGTCTCCTGTTGTGCGTATCGATCCGTTCGTGAACTGATATTTCGTCATAGCCGTGTTTGGAAGTAAAAGACTTCCAAACTTGGCCAGTTGTTTGTGCTTTGCTAGGGCGTTTTCGTTCCTAACATTCTCCTTTAAACTTTTTAATTCAAACTTAATTTATTTGGACAAACCTACCCGTTAAATTGTTTCGTTTGACTATCGTGACCTACATGTTAAAAAAGTTCCCTTCAACTCTCTGAACTCAATTTCAAAGACTTACTGGCTCACTTGTTTTTTCTTTGCCCTTGTAAGGGGTGAACTTGTACTGGCGCGATTTAAAAACTCCTTGAGCCAGTAAAGAGTCAGTAATGCCTGTTTGGACTCCGTATTTAAACGTCAGCAGTCAGTACAGTGGTGATCGCTAATGGAGCTTCGCGCACAGTAATCCTTGTCTTTTAGCCTAATTTGCATTGACCGCTTAATGACCGTCACGCTTGTAAAAAGACCAAGCATGTCCGGTCACTTCCTCCGTCAGCCAAGAGGAATGGGGAATTCTGTCTTTCATGCATATCTTTAGTCATTGTGGCAACAGTCATAGGGTTTGGTGCTTAATTTGAAAAAAAGACATCAAACCTGAATTTTGATGGTGTTTGAAACCAATAATATATAGATTTAGCCAAGCCTAAAAGCGGAGCTCGCATTTTTTCCCCACACGTCTCAAGGGCACAACGCAATGCCCCGGCCAGGACTAGAACCCAGGTCGTTCGACTCGGAGCCCTGTGCACTGACCACTGGAAAAAAGCCGTAGCGTTGGCGTGCCCGCGGTACAGTTGACCGCGCATGCTAAAAGTGGCACCATGTATGGACGCCCGTACGGTCACAAGTCCAAATTTTTTCGGCTTGATGGGTTACTACTACCATTTTATATAATTATGGGGCTATGCTCTGCGAGCTCCGCTATTACAATTATCAAAAATAGACAGTGAAAGGCTGCATGTGGCTAATGGTATAGTACAATTTTTATACCATTGAAAAGAACTAGAGATTGTATAATGACACTAGAAGGAAGTGTTGCAGAATATTTGTCTCACAAGAAAAACAGAAAACCTGCCGCATTCCACATATCTATGAATACCCTATTCCAAAAGACTGAGAAAGATGATTCAAGAATAAATTGTCAAATTGACATTCAACCAATTATTAAATGGTAAAAAATTATAACATTAACAATAAGAATAATGTTAACAATAGTAATATAATAATAAGTTAAAGGTGCTAGCTCGAAAGCCTCATGGTTCCTTAAGCTTTTCTAAAAGTCGCGACCCGCGAAACGCGACCATCAGCCAAACTCCTCCAAATCGTGATTACCTGTACTAGCTACAGCGCTCTTCTTGTGTGCTCATGCCAAACAGCCTGCCACAGATTTCACCATTATGCATAAAGGTGCAGTCATTGTGCCCGATGAGGAAAATATCAGAGTATCGATGTCATGATAATTTATTTCGTCAAACGACGCTTTCCAGCGTCCTAACTGCTTGACGACCCAAATGACCCCTGACCGCGGCCAAGTCTCAAGCACAGAAGAACTAATCACGGTATAAACGTGCTGAGCGCTTTGCTTATAAAAATGCGTAATGGGATCGCTCAGGTTCACAACCACTGACAGTTTTGTTTAGTCGCTATGGAGAAAAAAGAATCGGAGTGTGATTTTAAAAAGAAACATACAGAACTCTGCACACTGATGTAAAGCACTCACAGTGTCGTTCCCGTTCTGTTTTAAAGACATTTTTTCGCCTGAAAATCAATTTAAATCTTCTTTATTTGTAGATGACCTTTTCTATCCGTTAACTCATACAATAAATTCTCCGTTTTTAACCTTAAGCCTGAAACAATAATCCATTTAGGAGTGGAACATTTCCGTATCGTCCACTTTAAGAATAGCACCCCCCGGATTCAAACAATGGCTTAGAAATCTTAATCTCCACCCCCACACTAAAAACTCCTGACACAGTTCGATGGTTAAACTAACGCAATCTACAGTGAGGAGGCAAATATTAAACTGACACAGTTTCCATCATAAATCAAACAGGTTTGAGAGAATAAGAATAATTGTCAGTGTTTTGATTCGTCATTTTGCTTCCCACTAACTTCTCCAGGGTGACCAACAACCGTTCTTTCGGGCAACATTCCAAGCAAACTGATCTGAAGGTTTATTTAAAGGCGGCACAACAGTCTGTTTGTAAAACTGTAGCCTTTCTTGCAACTTGTTCACCACATCCGGGAGCTTCTGACTCAGGTCTGTACGTTCTGCAGGGTCAGCGGTGATGTTATACAGAGCAACTTTGATAAGCCCTCTTTCTTGAAAGTTCTGAAATAGAAAATCATCGATCAATATTATACAGAGTCTACTCAACTTCAAGCTCGAAAACAACTGCTCAAGGTTTGAAAAAATTAAGTCTGTTTAAAAAAACCTCCTCTTTCTTTTGTTCAAAACAACAACTACAAAACAACAAGAAAACAAACCAATAAAACCATGAAACAACAAAGGCTTGTGTATTGCACTGTGCAATTACATACATACATACATACATAACTTTATTTGATAACGCAGGTTAAAATTTGC